TCTCTCTCTCTCTCTCTCTCTCTCTCTCTCTCTCTCTCTCTCTCTCTCTCCTTCCTTCTTGGCCAGTTTCTAACCGTGAGAAAAATGATGTCAATATTTTATAACACAATAAAAAATATCAATGGTGTTTGTTTCACATGAAGTAGAAAATTTTTACATGTACTTACTATAAAATAATATGAGAAATTAAATACAGAAGCAAAAAGATCATCTCTTTAAATGATGATCTTCATGGAACATCACATGGTATATACACTATCTAACACAAAAAGCACTTTGATATCAAATTCTGACTCATATGCTTGACTTCTTAAAAACTACCATGCTTTTGACACCATACCTGATTATTTTCTTTCATTTCCTCAAAAGCCTACAAGCTCTATTAAGTTGTTCAGATAATAATACTGACTGAGATATTAGCCATTTTGTCCAGATTACTGCTAAGGCCTTGATTTCCCAGTAAATATGAAATTGCGTTATCAATGATATTAATGTATGGAATCTATGTAATAATGAAGAAGCAATTTCTTTCATTTTCAGTGACTTAAAATGAAAAAAACCACTGGGAATAACACAAATAATTATACTTTTATATTCTGTTTATATTTATATGCCAGCTAAAAGTTAATGTAATAACAGGTACTCCAAAAAGTTGAACAACTCTTCAAGTGATTCATGAGAAAATGACCCCACCTGGAGATGCAAGGCTTCATTATTTTCTAAGCCTTCCACAATTGGTGAAAATCGTTCTCTGCTATTCCGTTCAGCTGCAGCAGTGATACCCCCCAAAAGTTTGTCTAGACTGTAAGCAAAACAAGAGAAAATATAAATGAGAAATACTTCTTAAGCACACATAAGCATAGTTCATTCTGTATTTTAAAATTAGAGTTTGATATTGATATAGGGCATTGCAATTTTCACATATTTTTTAAGCTGACAAATCTTTTAAATACTCATAATGTGTAAGACAATGCTTTTAATTATCCCTCTCACAGAGTAGCTAAACTGAGCTATGTAACATATGTATTATTTCACATGCTAATTTTTTATGTATGAACTGTTTGTGTTTATGTGTTCTAAACATTTATTTACAGATTTATACTATGCTTCTTTTTCATGGGGAACTTCATTTCATATTAACATATAGGATAAAGTAAAATATAATAGTGCAACAGCACAAAATAAAGGCATCTAGCTGATTCAATTAAAGAAGTCAAACTGAGGTCTGGAGGGATAGCTTAAAAGTTAATACCATTGACTGTTCTTCCAGAAAAATTTACAATACCCAGTGAGTTGAGTGTGTTTGTGTGCTTGTGTGTGTGCATGTACATATACGTGTGTCTGTGAATGTCTTTCCCAAAATAACTTTTTGAATTTTTGACACATTTCCAATTGATGAATGATGTCTTCAGTGAGGCAAAATTTCATTTATCCACTTTAAATTTAATCTTCAACAAATTTGTACTAGGCAATATCAAAAAAGGTAAAATATAAAATAAGTATGTCAACTAAATATGTTGTAAGATCTACTACTATTTTTCTTCAAGTTACCAAATAGAAATAAAAATGCCAATTACGCAGGAATCATTTTTCAATACAATAAATAGCACATATCAATACTTACATGTTCTCTTCTCCAACAATGCAAATTGCAGAAAGAATTTTTACTATTTCAGTCATCATATTCTGTTGTTTCGGGTCAATTGCTCTTGCCAACAATAAGAGGCTTCTCTCATCGCCTAGAATCCTTTGTAGTCCAAACTAAAGAAAACAAACAAAAAGATCTCTCATGAAAATTTACACATCTACGGAATATAGTTTTCATTTAAAATAAACTCAAAATTAAAAAAAATTGAAAAAGCATTATCTTCAGGGTGATGTTATATTTAATTATGTAAATTCCCCTTGAATGTAGTTATTCTTTGCATTTTATTTGAGATGAGTATTTCTTAGAATTTTTGTGGCTTCAAGAAAAATGATTTCCATTATTCTTCAGAAAAGACTTTTTAAATTTTCATAAATATGGAAACAATAGTTGTTTAACAAATAAGAACATATAGAACACATATTGACTATATTTTCTAAAGACATTTTTCATGACATAACATGTCCATAGCAAAGTGTGGAATTTGTGGTTAACAATTCCAACATATTTGCATTGAAAATTAAGGAGAACAGTGGAGACAAAATGCTAAAAAGCTTACATGTATACTAAATGCTAGTTAAAGTAATAAAATTATAGTATGGGTATTCCCCTATTTACTTTAACATCTACTCATAACACTTGAGTTTCTTTATATATCACAGTAAGATGGGCAAAAATGTATCAGTTTCAGTAATTTTCTAGGAATGACCCTAAATATGTGTATGCATACATTCACAACTGCCAATACGAAGATTTTCAAGACAAAAATTAGAGACTGGAGGCCCTAGGGAATTTAGATGTCTGGTGGGGTAGGGGATGGGGGTTGGGGACAGCCTCATGGAGACAGGGGAGTGGGGAGGAGGTATGGGATGTGGAACAGTCAGAGGGTGGAGGGTGGGAATAAAATCTGGAGTATAAACAAATAAATAAATAAATATGTAATAAAAAATGTAATGTCAGGTTACTCCTTTCTTTTACCCTCTTCTCACAAAGTATATTTCCATTATCTCATTAAAAGTTTGCTTCATTTTACAGCTCCACGGTTACATAATGTTTCATTGGAGACTATTACAAGATAACATGAACAGCATGATGGTTCTAAATTTAACTTCTATGAGAAAAGGGGGCCTGGCTAAACTTTTTAATATGAATTTAACTGTGGGTCTGAATAAATAAGGGACCATGCAGACTGTAAAATGGTTTCTGATGTAAGTAACGTCAACTTTAAGGACCACAAAAATAACATTTAAGTCATTTCACATGAAATTCACTTTCCTTGATTTGGAAAATGTATTCCAACTTAAAATGAATACATCACTGTGTTATCTATTCAGAAGGACTGTATTATGAATTGTTTCCCATGCTTGTAATTTAAAGTACTCATTTATTCATATGGTGAAGATACATACCCTACTCATAAACACAGACTAACAAAAACTTTGGTTTAGAATAATTTACATTAAATCATCATGTTCCTCAAAAGTGCCAAAGAGATAAAAAAAAAAGTGAGTCTTAACATATCTGAGTATTACCTGTGGGAATAGAGCTCTATAGGAAACCCTCCAGATATAACTTTCTTTAGTCACTATTCTAATTATAATGAGTTGTTATCTTATAAAACTATGGTAGTTGACAACATGAATCAATAAGAATACAGAACAAAAGCTCCCATAGCTCAATTTATAGAGGAGAAGACTGATTAGCCAGAGGCTAAGTTATTTTTCAAAGGCCTTGTCTACTTCGAAATGGCAAAATAGGAACTGCATCTCTGATTTCTGGTGCTGTGTTCTCTTTCTATAAAGTTCCTACTTTTGTCAGTTGCAGAAAAATATTCTTCTTGAGCTGTGGTAAAACAATGTTCAATTAAGTTCATTTCTGTTTTAGATGTCACAACATGTGGGATCTAAATACCAAAAGCACAGACATACTATACTAGAACTGATTAGAGTCACTCTACAAGAACCTTCAAGATTGGTCAGTGAGATGGCTCAGGGGATGAAAGTACTCAATAAAATGCCTGACAACTGAAGTTTGATCCCTGGGACCCACCTGGTGAAAGAAGAGAAGTGACTCCCTCAAGTTATAATTTGACCTTGACACACATGTATCCGTGCATCACACCTATACATAATTCAATGTAAAAATAATAGCAGTACAAGTGAGGTGATGAAGGATTTCATTAACAATCATGTACTGCATGTATCGATATTATTTGCTGGTTAATATGGGCATGTGATACGGACAGTAATATATAATTGCACATGACCAAGAAAGGAAGTTTTTTATATATTACTTAAATATACAATATTATTGTATTGATTTTTAATAGCTATACTTCACATTTAGCAAGTTTCTGGTTATTGTTATAATGAGTGTTTCTATTAAGTACTTTAAGATTACAAAAATATCATCTAAAGGACATTATGTAATTAAGCAAACTGATTAGTCAGTTATTTTATCTGTCTGTCTCCACAATATTGTATAATAAAAACATTATACATATATAAAAATACATTCTATCCCCCATAGATTTCTTTTACACATATTAAACAACTGAAAGTGATTCAACATTAAAATATATCTCAGCCTTATAACACTCTCACAAAACTAGATGAAACTTATCCCTACCCTTGAATTTTCCTTTTTAACATAATAAAATTTTGTTATCTGTATGGAAATTATATTCAACTTATGACATTTAAATTTTCATACTACTTAGGATTAAGAGATGCTTAAGCAGTTAACAGTACACACTGATCTTATAAAGAACACAGGTTCATTTCCTAGTACCTACCTTAGGCAGCTCAAGCCTGTAGCTTGAGTTCTAGGGAATCGATTTTTTATGACCTCAATGGGTATCTGCGTGCATGTGTTGCACATAAATTTATCTAGCAACACATACACATAAATAAATCTTGTAAAATAAATATAATTTCATAATCATGAAAGGGAAAATATATCATATCATGTGAGAGCTAAACTAATATTGTTGGCATAATTGCAAAATATGTCAGTAAATATGGTGTAAAGCAAAATACACTTTTGAAGTCCATTAAAGAAAACATAGGGTAATCTGCATCATAAACATATTGCTGAAACTAAAATCAGTACCCACTACTTTAATTGTTGCTTACATTCATAGTGTCAAGCAAGATCCCCCTTTTGTAAAAGAGGGAGAAGTAAATGCCATTTACCTTATTATTCATAAATGCTTTCAGGCACTGAATGACTTTGTACTGATTCTTCTTGTCGATATTTTCTTGCCTAAATCATAAATAAAAAAGTCATATTAGGTTGCGTTTAATTTTTCCCATGTGTAAAAGGTTTTAAATGTTTATTCTTACTGTTTTTTGTCCAGAAGCTTCTCCAGCACGTCCAGTAAGACTCCAAGTCCTTCATAGCCAAAGTTGTTAACCCAGCTAAGAATTAAAAAGAATATATAAGTAACTTCTATACTTAACACATTAGATATTAAAAATAGAATTTTTGTTTTCGAATATGATATCCTGACTTACTGTTTTTATCTTTTTCCCCTGTGATAAAAGGCTAGAATAATCAGATGACCCTAATATCCTCATCTAAATCAGGGGCCTCTCTTCATGGTTTCCTTGTGCCTATATTACACTGCATAAGATATTTCACCAGCTTCACATACTTAAGCCAGAATTTATGAGCTAAATTTATCTCCCGCAATTTCTATTCTCACAAATCAACTTCTCCTCCACTCTTCAATATTCTCTTAATAACACCATTACCCTTTGATTCCGTCAGACTTGAAATACTGGCTTAATTGTTTGACCTGCCATTCTCTTTCACCTTTGCATTTATTCTGGTCTTTTCATAAACAGCTGTGGAACATCTAAAATGTACTGAGGATACGTGCAACATAGATATAATGGGCAACATACCTAAGCCCTTACCTACCCTCTTGGAGCCTACTACCTATGAATAGAGAGATAGATAATGAATAAACATTACAAATAACAAATAAGTAACAAATTATATAAACATTAATGCTTTGGGGCAATGAAGAAAAACAGATTTTGTTAAACAACTGAAAGGCCAGAATGCTATGTAGCCAGAGAAAGATGCTATGATAAAATGCTACCTGAATACAACACTGAAAATAGAACTGTAATTAGTAGAAGATTATGAGAAAACTGATTCCAGAGATGTTAAATATTGTGTTTTGAATGTTCCATCAAGTCTGTGGTTGGGAATGTATTAGTGGGGTTGGAAAAATATCAGATTACACATCATTTGTGTAAAACACTAGACCATTGGGTATCTAGTTATGAATGTTTCAGCTACTATCATGCTTCTTCTAAATGCTCCTCTGTTCCTTTCATTGTTTATGCTAAAACCTATTTTAACACTAGATTAGTTTTTCTTACCATGAATGAAAAATTCCAGGTGAAGTTGTGGTAGCTACATTTTTTCTTTTATTCATTTTACATTTGAAATATTTGAACAACAACATTTCACAACATTTTTCAGCCCAAATATCCATTGGAATTGCCTCAATGATCCCTTATCCTGACATTTTACCAAGTCTAATCTACCTTTCTAACCTGAGAATTTATGCCAGATTTGCCAATGGGATCAGACAAATGTCATTTCAAGAGTTCTCTCTGAACTTCCTTTGTTAGTTTATGCTTTCTTCTAAGAAGAAAACCATAGCATCATCTCTCGAGGCCTCCAAGTATCAAGTGATTTTTAACAATCAGTGATCTACCCATACCCTGGAAATATTCAACCAAATATGGGTTCTTCTTTAAGACCTCTCCATATAATTTTATCATTTAATATCTACCATGGCTTTTATTATATACCTGGCCAATTCATTTGGATTATAAATTCCCTAAAGACACTGTACTTTCTCAGTCATTCTGTTATCATCCATTGTCCCTACTAGAGTAGCTTAAATATACTATATTGCATATTTATAAACAATAGATATTTACTAATCTAAATTTAGAACAAATTTTGGTTAAAAGAATAGGCAATTATGTTTCACAAAGCTAAATAAATGCACAGAAGTTTGTAAAATAGTCATTAGAATTTATACTACCTACATACATATACAAATGTTGCAACATTGAGGAGAAAATACTGGGTCTCATAGAAAACATGTAAGCACTATACCACTGAGGTCATGTACTTCAAAGACACTCTATATATTAAAACCATGTGCTTATGTATTCCATAGTATTTAAACTTCCTCGGCTGGTGAATAAGCCTGGCTCCCATAGGCTCATATATTTGAATAATTTGGTACTTTGTTGGTAGAACTATTTGGAAAGGATTAGGTGATGTAGGCTTGCTGGGTTAAGGCTGTCACAGTGGGGCAGGCTTTGGGGTTTCAAAAGCTCATGGTGTTCCCAATTAGCTATCTCTGCTTTAGGCTCTGGATCAAGATATAATGCCCGAGCTATTGCTCCAGCACCATTCCTGCTAGCCTCCCACAATGACTGGCATATATTTTAACCCTCTGAAACTGTAAGGCCTCCAAGAAGTCTTTTTTGTTCTATCATTTTCCTTCATCATAGTGTTGTAGCAAAGATTTACAAAATAATGGAAAACACTGTCCATCTCATATCTACGTAAGATAAATATATCAACATAGCAAAAATATATTTTTTTCAGATTTTCAGTGAGAGTCATCAGACTAAAAAAGAAGGTATAATTTAAAACATCTGATAACCAGAACCAGTCACATCCTCAATTGTATGGAAGCTCATTTTAAATGAATATGGCTTTTATTTCCATAATGAAAGAAGAAATCAATAAGGTATTGTAATGATAACTGGAAGAGAGCTACTATTCATTTGAGGCATGTAGTCATCCAATGAAATGAACGATTTTCTAATGACTCTTAATAATCAGTGGGTTAGTGGCACAAAGATAAAGGGACATTAGTTCTAAGTGTAATGTGTGGTATTAAATCTATCTCAGAGAGAAATTTACAAATATGATCACAGAGCAATAGCATGGATCAACCTTAACATCGTAGGAGTCTAAACAAACCTGTATTTACAGCCTTCAGTGTCTGCTTCAATTTTGAGAAGAAAACATATCATTGAGTTCTTCAAATTTAATGCTTAGAAATTATATTTGATTGTAAATATTACTCATGTTTTCTTTATACCCAGAACTATTAAATTATTAGTATCATTTCTTCATCCGGGAAAGTATTTAAGAGAAGAGAAGAGTGATTTATATTTGTTTATTTGAAATCAGTCACCCACAAATGCCAAACTATATAAAAATACATAGTTAAGAACATTTTGGATTCATTCACTGAAAATTATTGTTATTTTTAAAAATTACATAATTCTGAAATTTAAGGGTAAAAGGACAAGTTTTCTTATTACAAATTAAGAAGTAAGAAGTCTCGACTGAGAATGCATCTGGAAAATAGAAGAGTAAACCTAAACAGAGTCTGCATAGTTTTTATAGTAGAAAAGGACCCCATGAGGAATTAGGTGGTAGGCGGCTGAACTAATCATGGAGTATCCTGATTATACTCAGAAACTCAATAAGTATCTCCCCTCCCCTTCTTTTCTTGCCAATTCCATTTTTCTTTCTCAGACATCAAGCAATGTGTAGTCTCTTGCTATATTCTCTCTGACATTCATAGCATTAGGTAGGTAAGCATATGCAACAAAACCATATAAAGACAAAAAAGGCAGGATGGAACAGCTTTAATTAAAACAAATGTTGGCTAGGTTTCAAGACTGGGCGTTTGTTTGTTTGTTAAAAATGATAACACCCGAACTAAGTGTTGCTCTAATTATGTACCTCAAACCAGCACTATCAATATCATTGTGAATGTGCTAATAATTTAAATCGTGGAGCCATACAAGAGAAGTATAGAATCAATCCCCAGAGGAGGTGAGATGGCAGCCACGTGTGCTCAAATGTGATTAAAAGTGACTGTGACGCTTGGTAAATTTTAAAGTCACTGGAATAGAAAAAGGTTTTATTTATGAAGTACAGGCACACTTTTGGAAGTGAGACACAGGCTAAGAACAACTCTAGACTGTTGTATACACTGCCCCCAACCAAAAAGAATCTCACTACCAGAGGATACAAAAGTAGGATAAAATTCAAGCTTCTGACACAAGTTTTACAAAGCATATAAATTGCAGCACTTATAGAATACTAGTAGGGGCATACAGAACTGTAATAATACATTTGATAATGGTATTTAAAATCTAACTCAGGGACTACAATTTAAGAAATAAAGGTCCCATGCTATCTCAACCTGAATATAAGTTTGGATTCACTGTAGATTAAAAAGTTGTGAGAGACACAAAAGCAGAGAATAATCCCAAAGGAAAAAATATAAAGAATGCTATTTGGTAAGTTTTATAATCATCTAGAATCAGATTTTTTCCTTTAATTTTTACTGAGATACAATTAACACAAATGTAGTGTAATTTATCAGATACTACTCAACAAAACTACTACATGTTTTTATATAACATCTGCCTAACTTTTTTTCTAATACCTCACTAACTATTTCATGATTGTGACAAAAGTACAGAGTTTATAACTACAAACACAGAATAAATGCCTTCTTTATTTACAGTCTAGTCAGCAATAGGGCTGTCATACACGTATGCTAACATAAAGTCTTGGGTCTCTGTGGAAAACACTGAAACAGAGGGCTATAAGTTATTGTAAACAGGCAGCTTTTGTGGAAATTTACCAGCCTGAGTAGTCATAGACCTTGTAAATAGGTAGCCTTAGCAGACAACACCAACTTAGATAAGGACAAGTGAGTCATAGGCAGAGTCATAGTGACCTATCCCCTGAACCTTCACCCAGCCGATACCCTGTTCTGAAGGATATCTGTATTCCCCCTGAACACCCACACTCCAGTGTCATCCCCTTCCCCATGTCCTGCCTTTCTGTGTTTATTTCTCCTGTGTAAATAAGTAAAAATAACAATTTGGTTTAAAAAAAAGAGAGATAATGAAGTAAGGATGTTTAGGTGAAGTGATGAAATATGGCAGTCTGCAACATTCTAGCTGGTAAAGACATCTGATAGATCAAACCAGGACTGTTATTCCCATATTAAAAGCTAGTACTACACATTCTGCAGATACTTCTTAATACATTTTCTATCAGACCAAATATAAGTGAATACTATAGTTTTTAAGTTAATTTTAAATATTTTATTTAAGTTTCTTTATTTTGATAATCCCATACCATAAGAAAGAAAAGAAGGTTTTGCTGGGTGTTTTATTTTTGCTATGTGGATGTTAGGTGGGATAAACAGGGTCCTGTTATGACCTCCTGCTGTATATTTCAAGTACAGTGGATACAATACTATGCAACAAAAAGTCTATTTTTAGGCATCTCTACTGTTTTTATTGTATGATAGAACACAAAATAAAAAAAAGAAGATGCC